GTGTCTCTTCTCTCTACAGGTTGGTACTAAGAAGTGCCTTTCCTGACGTCTCTGCTGCTTGGGACCGCTTCTAGAGCAGCCGCTGCTTTTTGCCTTGCTTGCTGCCAGCTAGACTGCGACGACAGCGCATCCGCCCGCCACCTCTAGCCAGACACCCCCACTGCCACCCAAAACCGAGAGAAAGGCGCTATCGGGCCTTGCCGTAGGCTGCTTTACTGTAAAAATAAAAGTTTGCTGAGAAGGTCAGATATCTTCTGCCCGAAAATCAAGGAGAGGAGGAAAAAAAAAAAAAATCCAATCTCGATCGTTGCTCTAAACTGCTGCATCTGTCTATGCCAAACTAATCGATACCGATTGCACCACAAAACCCCGTTGCAAATTCAGCTGCGTGGAGATTACTTTTCAGACAACTTTACTGAAAGCAGCTTGGAAATCCCGTGTCAGAGGGTCTGCCACGTTTTCATGCTTGCATTGTGGGCTCCGGTTGGCACTCAGGATGGGTTACTGAGCGCACGAGGCTAGTCCCGGGCCACACTTTTTAACATTCACCTTGCTGGTAATCCTGGCATTTCTCTAAGTACGAAACCTCTGTCGATTAACAGTGTCACACTGTGAACTCCTGGTGGCACATCTTTTCTTTGACATTGCGGCCACCCAATTTTACACGTACTTTTAAAATAGGGAGTGGGGGGAAAAAAGTATTCTGGAGGTGGCGTTTTCATCATTTCCAGTTTATCAGTTCAGCTACTTGTTTGTCCGTTTTATTGGAAATTTTAACTACCTGTAAAATCTAAAGATGGCTGTTAGTGTCACGCCGATTCGGGACACAAAATGGCTAACGCTGGAAGTGTGTAGGGAGTTCCAAAGGGGGACTTGCTCACGACCAGACACGGAATGTAAATTTGCACACCCATCGAAAAGCTGCCAAGTTGAAAACGGACGTGTAATCGCCTGCTTTGATTCATTGAAAGTGAGTAAATATTATATTATTTTCAAGGATATACAGTTAATGAAAGAAGCAGTTGTAGCCAGAGAAGCCCTGCAGCCCAAAAGGGAGCAATTGCTGGCTGCCAGCAGTGGGATGTTTTGCTGCTTTTATTTTATTGATGCTTGTTGATTTGTTTTGCTGTTTTCCTCAGGGGAAGGGGAAGGATAGGGGGAATGAAGGGAAAATATGCCTGGCAGGGCTCAAATCCTCCAGTATAGCTACAGTGACTGGTTCTTTGCCTCCAAATTATTCTCTGCCTGTAGCTGGAATAAAGGGCACTTCACGTAGAAACAGCAAAGTCACTGTAAGGATTCTTTGTTTTTAATAGCACAAACCACGTAAGCAATATGAGGATTTGTTTCCATCTCGTAACTACCAGCGGGTTGTTGGTGTCTCTGGACAGCTGATGGTGAATCTTAGAAGAGTGTTTTCCTCCCTAGGTTATTTGGGTGTCCGTGAGCACCCTGCTTGTATTTCTGTGTTTGGGACTGCTGTGGTTATCCTGTCTTTTTCAGAAACGCACTTGCTTAAGGGAAGGACAATGCTTAGCAGAAGGCAAGGTGCCTCTAGATGTGCAAGCAGGGCCGTAGCAGAGAGTGTACAGCCTCACTGTGATTTTTAGGAGGCATATCGGAGTTAGGCGCTGCAAATGTATGGCTGCTGTTTTACTGTAGCTGTAGTTTCAGCAATAGGTGTTAAACGTGTGGATCCCAGCGCCTTCCCTTCAATTTTTATGAATTAAATAATCTTAACATTTAAAATACTCATCCCACAAACAGTACAGAATAATTCAGTAGAGTCCGTTTCCCGACTTAATTTTTTTATGAAATATGTCTGTCAGTTTTTTCTACAGTATAATTTTCTCTTCCTGGGACCAAATCCTGGGAAGGGGAGCAGAGCCCGAGTGCGTGGAGTTGCCTCATGGCAGAGACGTGCTCTGGGGAGGGAGTTGTAGCTGTAACCAGCTACTGCAGGTCGCATGTGCAGCCAGGCCCCGATCGCAGTGGGAGCTGGGCAGGAAGTGGGTTAATAGCGGTTTTATATAAATCCTGTAATGCTCCTGAGTTTAAAAATGTGTCTCGTTGCAGAACAGGGTAGAGAGTGAACCTTTAAAATGCTCTCAGGCCCGAAATACCCAGCCCCACCACCCCCAGCCATGTTTTAACTTACGGATATTGAAACGTTTTTGTTTGTGTTGTTCAAATTTGTTTTAAAATTCCCGTAATTATAATGCATGGGGGGGAAAGAAAAATTCATTTAAAAACATGGAAATAAAGTGTTGCTATGCATTAAAAAAGCGTTGGAGTTAGGAGCAGTGCCGGGCGCCACCAGCGCCGATGTGGAGTCCTGACCCTGAGGCATCGCCCTTGGTGGAGGAGTGGGCCAGTGGCGCGGC